GAACGTCGCACTCGCTTACGTCACTGTCATGAGACATTCTCGCAAAAAAATCACGGTTTTAGTAACGCAGTAACGCAGCGTGCTTACAGGAAAGTAACGGTAATCTAATTACCGTTTTTGCTATAGTAATCCCTTACTTTACTCGTTACTTGAAAAAAGTAGTCAGATTACAGTAACGCGTTAAATGTAACGCGTTACTGCCCATCTCTGCTTATTACACAGCAGCTACAAATGTGAACAGAAACAGCTATAAGTATACCTGAATACATGCCTGTATTTAAAGGTATGTATTCAGGTTTTTTCTTTTGTATATTTGTACATTTGATATTTCTGAACACTGTTCATATTTGCTGTAGAACGGTCCACCTCAGCCATGTCTGCACTGAGTAGAGATCTCTGTATCTCTGTGTCTCATTGTACACATGTATAGTGACAATAAAAAGTCATTCTCTGCATAAATCTGTAGAGAGAGAGTTTGTTAATTGTTTACTCATCTACTCCCTCATGTTGCCACCTGTTACAGCTAAAAGGAGGATAAGGAAATGTTCTTCTGTTCATTGAAGAAGCAAATATAGCATTACTACACAAACACTGTTCAAACTAAAAGTCATATTTTTAAAATGCAGACCATTTTCACATGACACTGTTCCACATCTTTAGCAAAGAGAATACAACTGAGACAGATTCAGCGCGTCCCATCATTGACCAGGACAATAGCGATCCCAAACACCATGATATACAAATGACCCCAAAGGTGTGTAATGACAGTGTTTGTCTCCCTGCCAGATGCGTACAAAGTGGAAATAAATTAGGAAACTACTGCGGCACCCTGAAGTGGCTCAGTGGGGGACGTGATCGATGGTAAAGGTTTGTTGTTTTTAAATGGAGAAACCAAAGAAACCAGTCATGCCCATGAAAATGTTTCTCTGAGTTGGAACATTTTCGACTGTTGGGGTTAAATGTATGTAGAGGCAAGACCTTCAGAAATGTGAAGGTTGCAGTGAAGTTAGTTTATTTTTAATGCAGCGTTATGTCCTTTGTGGTGATGTCACCATTGCTACACAGAATATAAAAATGTCAAATGGATTTCCTGATCTACAGTTTCCAATGATCTGTCATTTGTAATGCGATTACAGTAAATTAAGTGTATAACTTACTATAAAATTGATCTTTTATGTCTTAATTGTTTCTATAAATGGTTTGCTCATTAAAAAACAGTTTAACAGTAAATGGTATCTGCTGTTGTCTGGTACTGCTATATTTATAGAATTAGACACGTCTTCAGCAATTAAACATGAAACAGAAAATAATTTACTAAAAATGCTAAAGATAAAACGATGTTGTTTTGAGCTGAAAACTCATAAAGCCAAAAGGGAACAGCATTGTTTGGCCACAGAAGATCCAGACGATTAGCTTATAGTCCAGATATGATGTGTGTTACATAGCATCCATCTACATTAAGCCCACTTTGAGAAGATATATGACACTGCAGTTTACGTTCCTGTGTATTGACTCATGGAGACTCTCTGATGCTTCGTGTTT